GTCTCTCCAATGAACTCTCCTGTGAGGCCGGGAGTTCCTCCCACCGTCGCAACCCTCACAGGTTTTTCCAGCCAGAGGTTTTGAGGGTTTCTTTTCCTGTACTGGAACCCAGGGTTGCATGTCTATCTTGCTTCCCCTTTGTTCCTCCTGGTTTATCAGCAGGCAAAGGTGGGACCGCCCAGTCCTCCAGTCGCAGCCTTGCCACGCATCCTTTCCACCCCAGCTATCTCTCTCTGCCCCTCCTATGAGTCTGGATGAGTATTTCTTCTTTAACTCCTTGGTTATCAGACTTCCATACAATTTGATTTTCTGGCAGTTCTGGTTGTTTTTGGTTTTTAAATGTATTGTCCTTCTTTTGGTTGTGTGAGGAAGCAAAGTGTATCTACCAATGCCTCCCTCTTGGCCAGAAGTCCCTGAAAAGTTTGTTTTCTGAGCCTGATGTCAATAATGAAACATGAATGGATGTCATTTTATGGTAATATAATTCATCAAATAGACATGGAGTGCCAACTATGAACTGGACACTTGTTATCCACTGACAATCTGGTGATGAATCATGTATCATCCTTGTCCTCAAACATCTTACAGTCCAGCTGTGGGACCTGATGAGTAAAGCGCTAAATTTAGTACATAAAAGAAATGTTCAGAAGTTTCCCTTTCAGGAGTGATGTGTGCTCTTGCACTGTACTCTATTTCAGATATCAGACATACCTAGGGACTGAGATTGTTTTTATACTTCCTGCAGGAATACAAGAGGAGTACTTCCAATGCAGTCTCACAGTATTACATACAGAGTTGGTGTCCTATAAGTTACAGTTTAGTCAAAGCAAATTGAAATGCCTGCCTCAGTCCTGCTTTGATCACCTCAAAAATGTACTCCACTGAGCATTTCTGAAACCAAGTTGCAGTTAAAGTCAGGAAACAACAGTCTCCATGAAGCACAGAAACTGAAGTGAAACTAGCAGCCAGGTTTCCAAGACCTGTGGTTGCTGGTCTTCCTCTCTCTTCTCCTTCTATCAGACCTGCCTCCAGTTGACTTTTATCTGAATCTTCTAACCAAGTCCTGGAGTTAATTTGCTTGGAATATCATTAACCCAGAGTTCCTCTCCTGTGGAGCCAAGGCACTGTCTTGAACCTCGGGTGGAAATTATAATGAGCCTGTAGTGGCTTAATTATATAAGTTTCTTTTGATTGAAAGTCACAGAAACCAAACCTGACAAGCTGATTTAAAAGAAGAAGAAAATAAGAAGAAAGAGGAGGAGGAGGGTACAAGGATAGAAGTGGAATTTTTTGGAAGGATATTAGTATTTCCTCCAAGAATTTAAGGACAAACTGAAAGACAATAATGAATCAGCCCAGTGGTCATTACAGCTCTGAAACTCAGAAAATTGAAATGCCTGCCTTGGTCCTGCTCTGGTCACTTAAAAAATGTACCTCCACCAGGTCTTTCTGAAAAAAGGTTTTATGTCAACGGCAGGAAATAACAGTTTCTTTCATTTATGTATATATTTGAAAAACTGAAGTTAGTGGACCTTCTCTGCAGATGAGTAACTAAACAGATCCCCAGGAAGTGAGTCCAGTGAGTGCAGCCCAGATGAGGTGTAAGGGGAGGGCCAGGGTCTCCTTCTGTATTGGGATGTAACAGTCTTTTCAGAAGGGGAAATCATTGTAAGCATAACAGCCATGCCAGGAAGTGTGTATATTGGCCCCTCCTTGGGCAGAACGGTCAACCAAGAACTATCTTTTAAGAGAGCGAATTTTTATCAGAGGAAGTTACCATTTTTAAAGTAGTGTATCATTTTCTTCATGCCACCTTTCAATCTGACCTCATTCATGGCCTTACTAGTTAAAATCAATTTATAGTCAATTCTACTTTCCTGCTTGACTCAATATCATTTCCTGCAGTTTAGCTTTTATTGGTTAAACTTTAGAAGAGGCTTTCAAAATAGAATTTGGGTTCTGCCCCCAAAGGAGATTTGGAGAGCCACACTTGAAGTTGTTGTCCCATCTTTGCCCCAGGCCAAGATGGTTGTGGACCTTGGAAGCTGGTCCATCCCAGGCTCGTTCCTGCCTTAAACCTGAATTACTGTGACATTCATACATTCATTCATTCACTCACTCATTCATCAAGGCTTTATTATGTCAGAAACTCTATCAAGAGGTGGATATACAAAGATAAATTTGGAATCATACCTGCTCTGAGGAGCTCACAGGGTTTGGAAATGTGTCTGTTGTAAAGACAATGGCTTATAATACCAAGTGGTTATAGCAGGACCTGGGAGCTACACTAGCCCAGAGATCCTTACATCTGAGCTCGACTGGCCCCTGTAGCTATGCTCTCCCAAGGGCCAATACTGTGATAGGCAGGATAACGCTCCCCTCCCAAAGATGCCTGTGTCTCCCCCTGGATCTGTGAACAAGTTATGTTACAAGGTGAAAGGGAATTAAGCTTGTGGATTGATTAAGCCTACTAATCAGCTGACAGGAGATAGGGAGATGATCCTGGATCATGCAGCCTTCTTAAAAGTGAAAGACAAAGGCAGAAGAGGGAGAACCAGAGAAATGGCCACATGAGAAGACTTGACCTACTGTTGCTGGCTTAGAAGGCAGGGGAATGCCACCAGTCAAGGAATGTGGGCAGCCTCTAGAAGCTGGAAAAGGCAAAGGAATGGATTCTCCTCTAGACCCTCCGGAAGGAAGTCAGCTCTGTCAATACTGTGATTCTAGATTAGTGAGACCCATTTCAGATTTTCAACCCCAGAACTGTAAAATAATAAACTTCAGTTATTTTAAGTCACTACACTTGTAGTGATTTCTTAAAGCAGCAATAAAAAAAAATAGAACCAATAAGAGTACACTTGGGGTATGTATGCCTGGTTATATGTCAGTGACTACTAAACAACTGCCATTGTTATTTTTAGCAGAATGTTACACACTGGTCTTCTTTAGCTTAACATTTTAAAATTCATGTTCCCAAAGATGAGAACATTGAGCTTTCATTTAAGGGTTTAAGAGTACTCTATATCAAAGTATAACAGCTAACATTTTTATAATCCTTTCACAGATACTCCTCCTTAATTGGTGCTTAAAACAGACTTGTGAAGAAAGAGTTAATTGTTCTCACTTGCCAGAGGAGGAAACAGATGCTAGAATGATTGTCCAAGGTCAACAGGTACTGAGTAGCAGTGCCGGGCTTTCCACAATACCAGGGTGACAGCAGGCACATTGCTGGAGCTGTTTCACTGGGGTAGGCCCCATAGGTGCCAGCCCAAAACCCATAAAGCATCTGCAATGTTACAGCTGTGTTCACACAGCCCCAGGCCTGTACAACGGCTGCTCTTGAGTTAGGTGTCACAGCTTTCAATATGACTGGAAAACTGTAACCAGACTCTAGTCCTGATATGGCTATATCTGTTCTCATGAAAGGATCACATTGACAAAAGAGGCGCAGACAGTGTGTGAGAGTGGGACTGGGACTTCTGATAACTGCAAAAGGCCATTTTCACTGTGTTCCCGATGCGACCGCCACGAGCTAGTTGCAGAAAGAGGAGGAGGCCAAAACCTCCCGTTCTTTACCAGAGCCAAGATTAGAAACCCTCTTTTGCCTTTCTCAATGCTACTTTTTATTTTTAGCTGTGCATTAGCTGGGTCCACATGTCAGAGGCTGCAGTTGTGTTTGTGCAGTGAGTGCATTGCGTGTACTCAAGTACCACAGAAATGTTTAGTTTTGTCTCTAGGTTTATCATTATTAATAAGGGTTTTACAACTACAAAGGAGGTAGTTTTCTTTCCACATTGCCTTTCTCTTACTCCATTTTGAGGTCTATACTTTGTATAATCCTTCAAATTACCTTTCCAAAGAAGTCTTTCTGACCACCATATAAATATTACCCTCACCCAATCCCTATTGCTTTACCTTGCTCTATTTGTTCAAAACACTTTTCTCACCTATATATTCTTGTTTTCAATTTTTTTTCTGTCTCCCCTACCACAGAGCAGATGCTGTGTCTCCTTTGTTTGCTGTTGTAGGTAGGCAAGTCCCTGACACATAGTAGAGCTCAGTAAATATTTGTTGAATGCATTACTGAATTCTTTAATCTCCCCCAGTGTCTAGTATAATCCCAAACCTGCTGTATTAGAGACCCTGGTAAAATAAAAAGGAAGAAGCCCTATCTAAGGGGAAAAACCCTTAACTTACTTTTCTGTAGTCAAAGTTTCTAGTTTCTGACTGACTGGTTGATTGGGGGAAGGGAAGGATCAGAAAGGGGAAACTTCAGACCTCGAGTCGGAAGTGCAGAGTCAGAACTGCTCTCAGCCCCAAATGATGTGAACAACCCCCAAAGCCTGGTCCCCTCTCCAGACAGAAATGAGTATTCCCAGCGTGTTTAAGACATGCAAAGGCTTTGGTTAATTTATTTTATTAATTGGGTGGTAGGAGATAGTCGAGAGAAACTGTGAGTCTACTTTTTTGAGATCCAGTGATTTATTACAAGTTTGTTCTAAAACTAGTAAGAAGTAAGGGCAGTGAAATAAATCCACCTATATCCCAGTGCATGTGTTTGTTGTTGTTTTTTTTTTCCTGTGTTTTGTAAAGTCTACCTGGAAAACTTTCAGTCATTGCTTAAAGTTTAGATCAATGTCGCCTCTTCTAGAGGGGCTGGTTCTTCAGGGCCTCTGGGAGCCACCAGCGTGCTTTGTTCACATGGCTGACGTTGGTCTGATACCCTGTTTATTTAAATGACTATCAGTTAAGCGATATCCATGGATAGTTCCCTCTGAGCACTAGGAGGACAGAAATCATCTCATCATGCTTCGTATCTCCAGTGTCCAGCTTGAGTGCCTGGCACATAGTTGGTACTCGAGAAATGTTGAGAAAATAGACACGTGAGTACATGAAAAAACAAGGGACTACAGTCCAGCCACAATGAACCAGTTGTTAACATTTGGACCTTCTTTCTAGGGAAACTATTTGAACATGGTTTTTTGTTTTTCCTTCATCAGGCACTCTCATTGTTCTGAAACATCCTTATCCAAGAGAAGTGGAAGAACCTTCCATTTATGAATCCGTCCGGGTTCACACAGCAATGCAGACAGGAAGGACAGAAAGTGACCTGGTGCCCACTGCACCCTCTGTAAGTGGCCATTAATCTAATACAGCTCTCTCACTGTCTAAGAGCAATAAAGTGCAATAAGGATGATGTAGTTTTCAAAGTATGTTTGTTCACATAAAAATTCTAACTTAGGATATGAAACCTGGAAAGAAACATGAGGTTTGAAGCCTATGACTCAGTTTATTTTGTTCAGTGTAAATCATTACCAAAAAAAAAAAAGATTCAATGCAGTTAGTGAGGAGATCTTAAATACTTAGAAAATGAACTTAAATTCCTATCCTTACTTAGCCAAATTAGTTTATGCTGGAATGGGTGAGAGATGTTTAAGTTCACATAGTTGGCTGAACTATTATTCTTCGACAGGTTTCTAAAACGAAGGAAAAAGTGTTCTTTTACATTGGAAGTGTATATGGAAGAAAAATATTTTTCAAAAATATTTTACTGTAAACCCTTGGGATGTTATTTTCCTAGCCTTTTTTCCCTTCACTAAAACACTTGCATTTCTTTGCGACATGTGCTATTGTACAGTCACAGTGCACCCAGATCACTCATTGTTCTTCCAAGAGTCCACTTCTTTTTGTTCTGCAGGCTGTCACCCTGCAGAGAGTCTTCTCTAGCACCCGCTGTCCTGCCTTATTCTCAGGGCTCTCCTGTTCTTTCTCTCTTTGTGTGCTGAATATTCCTGGTATAAGACATCTGGATTTGTACAGATGATAAAGAAGACAACACACACAGGAAATAACAATAACTAATTCTAGATAGTAACCAGTACACTTGGAAAATAATCATTTGGAGATAGTCAGCTACAATTGTATTAAAATATATGTGACCTTTCTCTCTCTGTAGTACTTTTTCTACTCTGCCACCAGAGACATCTCTCTTGAAAGACAGATTCACCTCATGACCTTCCTGCTTAAGATCCTTCCACGGTGCCCATGGTCTTCTCAGTTACCCTGGACCTTGCTCACCCCTCTGGCCTCACCACATGCTATTCCCACACTCATTCTGTGGAACCTGCCTCCCTTAATAAAATTCATTTCTGATTGTACTCCTCCTCCCTGCCCTACATCTGAAATGCTACCAACACCACACTCTCCCCTCATTTTTCAAGAATTATAGAGATCAGCATCTTCCAGGAAGAGACTTCCTCCTAACTCCTGCTAGTTCCCTGTAAAATGCCCCTCTTCTATCCTCCAAAGCACCCTCTGTTTGCCTTTATTCTGGACTCCTCATACTGGAATCTAATTACCTGCACATGTGTGTGCCCTTCTCAGCAGCCTGACACTTCTGAGGAAAGGAATTATAGCTTGTCTTTATAGCTTTATATCCTAGCCAGGCTTAAAACACACATTACCTTCTTATCACTATGCTACATCTACTCAAAAATTAAAATCTTGGACATTGGTTGAGAAGGATATTTTAGTTTTGTTAAGGTTGGAGGAAGAAGCACCAGGCCTCACAACTAAAGAAATTTAGGAAAACAACAAAAATTGTTGTCTGACCAAAGAGCAAATCAAGAGCTACTTCCTAATTCTTTGTTTCCCAGTTGACCTGCTCGTTCCTAACTTTCTCTTTTCTTTATCCCACCACGGGTCACTTCAACATGTTTTTCATTTGTAATTTGTATCCTCAGTTTAACTTCACTTTCTCCTCATTTACCCTTTTCCTAAAGATCTCCATTTAAGGTCAATCATGCTGTGTGTGTCCTTTATCAGCAGTAAAATTTTGGTAATGCCTAATTTGAAGAGTTGATGTGAGCATGAGATGCAGTATACTTAGGTAGAAGTAGACCACTTTAGACCAAATCCTGGAAGCCTTATTATTTAACATCTTTGCCCACTCCAGGTATCAGATGATTTACCTGCCCATGTATCTAAATATGATCACACATAGAGGGTTCTATATAATGGAGCTTTTAAAAGAGTGGTAAGTGAATAGTTGAGAACAACTGCACTCACTCTATATAATGATAAGTCCATGAAGTTTATTGTGCATTAATACAGACAGAAAACTATAAAGGGTTCCTAGGGGATAGTGAAATATCTCCTATTACTCTTCACTAAGGAATGATTGATAACTAGACCAGCCAGCCAGGGGAAACAGTTCTGGTCAAATCAGATGCTCTTGTCTGTTACTGAATGTGAGAGTTCTCAGACTTCATTGTTACCCCAAATGCTGACATGAAGCTCTACCTCTTCCTTCAACTAGAGAGCTCTGAGGCCTTCCAGACTTCTCTCTTCCTTTTCTTAGGATGCTGGTCTTGTACGCGCTCTGGCAGTGGAGGAAGAAAATTAAGTCCTATTTACAGGAAAAGAACTTCTTGATTAAAGTGAAAATGAAAACAGGTGTCCTATTGCCCAGAAACGTACATGGTTGTGTAACACTGTTTAACATCCTTTGGCAACTGCATTTGGGGAAATTACTATTTATATATTGTATAAACAACATAAGATTAGGTTCCTGAGATAGGATGAAATTTAACTAATTTACTTATTTAAATTTTTAAATTGAATTTATTGAGGGACATATTGGTTAATAAAATTATATAGGTTTCAAGTGTATAATTCTATAATACATCATCTGTATATTGCATTGTGTGTTTATCACCCAAAGTCAAGCCTCCTTCTGTTACCATTTATCCATCCTTTACACTCTTTCTCCTACCTTCCCTGAAATATCCCTCTCCCTCTGATAATCACCATGCCATTATCTATGAGGTTTTTTTCTTTGCTTAACCACTTTACTGTTTTCACCCAGCCCCAAAACCCCTCCTCTTTGACAGCTGACAGTCTATTCTTTATGAGTCTGTTTCTGTTGTGTGAGTTAGTTTGCTTCATTAGAATCCACATATAAAGAAAATCATATGGTACTTCTCTTTCTCTGACTGGCTTATTTCACTTAGCATAATGTTCTCCAGGTTCATCCATGTTGTCAGAAAAGGCAGGAGTTCCTTCTTTTTTATGGCCGAGCAGCAGTCCATCATACTATAGCTTTTTTATCCACTTGTCCATGGATGGACACTTAGGTTGCTTCCAAATCTTGGTTATTGTAAATAACGTTATGAACATAAGGGTTCATATATTCGTTTGAATTAGTGTTTTGGTCTACTTAGAATACATTCTCAGAAGTGGAATTGCTGCATCATAAGGCAGTTCCATTAATAATTTTTTGAGATAATTCCATACTGTTTTCCAGAATGGCTGCACCAATTTGCATTCCCACCAACAGTGCAATATGGTTCCCTTTTCTCCACAGCTTGCCAACACTTGTTGTTTGTTGATTTATTGATGATGGCCATTCTGACAGGTGTGAGGTGATATCTCATTGGGGTTTTAATTTGCATCTCTCTGATGGCTAGTGATGCTGAGCATCTTTTCATATGTTTATTCGCCATCTGTAAGTTCTCTTTGGAGAAGTGTCTATTCAAGTCCTTTGCCCATTTTTTAACTGGCTTCTTTGTTTTTCTGGTGTTATACAAGTTCTTTATAAATTTTGAATATCAACCCATTATCAGATGTATCATTGACAAGTATGTTCTCCCATTAAGTGGATTTTCTTTTCATTTTATTGATGGTTCCCTTTCTCGGCAAAAACTTTTTAGTTTGATGTAGTCCCATTTATTTTTTTCTTTTGTTTCACTTGCCTGAGGAGATATATGAGAAAAAAAAATATTGGTACAAGAAATATCTGAGATTTTACTGCCTATATGTTCTAGGATTTTTATGGTTTCAGGTCAAACATTTAATCTTTAATCCGTTTTGAGTTTATTCTTGTGTGTGCTGTAAGAAGGTGGTCTAGTTTCACTTTTTTACACATATCTGTGCCACTGTCCCAACACCATTTATTGTATAGACAGTCTTTACCCCATTGTATGTTCTTGCCTCCTTTGTCAAATATTAACTGACCATAAAAGCATAGGTTTATTTCTAAACTCTCTATTCTGTTGCATTGATCTATATACCTGTTTTTATACCAGTACCATGATGTTTTGATTACTATGGACTCGTAGTATAATTTGATATCGGGTAGTGTGATTCCTCCAACTTTGTTCTTCTTTTACATGATTATGGTGGCTAAGTAGGGTCTTTTGTGGTTCCATATGAATTATTAGAGCATTTGTTCTAGTTCCATGAAATATGCCAGTAGTATCTTGGTAGGGATTGCGTTGAATCTATAGATTGTTTTGGATACTATGGACATTTTAGTGATATTAATTCTTCCTATCCGTGAACATGGTATATGATTCCACTTATTTGTATCTTTTCAGTGTCTGAGTACAGGTCCTTTACATCTTTGGTTAAATTTAATTCTAGGTATTTTATTTTTTGAAGCAACTTTGAATGTTTATTTTTAATTTTCTTTTCTGATAGTTCATTACTGGTGTGTAAAAATGCAACTGATTTCTGGGTGTCTATTTTGTATCCTACTCTTTATGCTGTGAATTCACTTCCAAACTGTAGTAGCTATTGCCTTCTTCCTCCTTTTTAATGTTATTACTTCCCTTTAACCTTCATGAAATATCAAAGTGTATAGTATCCTATTCTGAAAAGTGCTACTGCTTCTGTCTGCATGTTAGTGATTTCATTCATAGTTTTGTGACCTTTATTTCTGGTAGAATAACCCCCTTGAGTATTTCCTTCAATGGGGAAGTCTTCTGGTGGTAAATTCCTTTAGCTTCTGTGTGTCTGGAAAAGTCTTTATTTCTTCTTTACATCTAAAAGTTAACTTTGCTGGATATATTATTCTTATCAGGTAATTTTTCTCTTTTAGTAGTTTGACTATTTGATTCCACTTTCTCCTAGCTTGTAGGGTTTCTGCTGAGAAATCAGATGATAATCTAATGGAATTTCTTTTATCAGTTACTGTCCTCTTTTCCATGGCTGCCTTGAGAATTCTTTCTTTGTTGTTAATTTTTGATAGTTTTGATACAGTGTGCCTTGGAAAACACCTTTTTCGGTTAGAGATAATTAGGTGTCCTGTTTGCTTTTTAGACTTGAGGATCTAGCTTTTTCTGTAGGTCT